ATGTGTATGGGTAGGTATGTGGATGGGTAGATGTATGTGGATGGGTAGGTATGTGAATGGGTAGATATATGTGGATGGGTAGATGTATGTGGATGGGTAGATGTATGTGGATGGGTATATGTGGATGGGTAGATATATGTGGATGGGTAGATGTGGATGGGTAGGTATACAGTATTTGGATGGGTAGATATATGTGGATGGGTAGGTATATGTGGATGGGTAGATGTGGATGGGTAGGTATGTGGATGGATAGATGTATGTAAATGGGTAGATGTATGTTGATGGGTAGATGTACTGTATGTGGATGGGTAGGTATATGTAGATGGATAGATGTATGTAGATGGGTAGATGTGGATGGGTGGGTATATGTGGATGGATAGATACAGATGGATGGATACATGTGGATGGGTAGATGTATGTGGATAGATATATGTGGATGGGTAGATGTATGTCAATGGGCAGATGTGGATGGGTAGGTATGTTGATGGATAGATGTATGTAGATGGGTAGATGTATGTGGATGAGTAGATATATATGCATTCTCTCTGGCTCTCCTCTCCTTCGTCTGGTTGTACCTCGGGACACGGGTGACATTTCATCGCTGTGTACCTGGTGCCAGGGATGATATTAAGCTAATCTGCAGTGCTCCTGTTTGCCTTTACTTTCCAAACGACTACGAGCAAACACAAAGCACACCAAGGCTCCGGCGACGGAGAGTTCTGCTACGACCAACTGTCGGCTTCTCGATGTGAGCTGGGGAGGAAATCGCCCGTTTCATTACACGTTTCGTGTTGAATCTGCTCCTAAAGTTTAAATCTGTGTGTTTTGCTGGCAGCAAGTTGACCTTACAATGTGAGCCAGCTACGTCCCAAAGGCATCCCAGATGTCTGCTGCTTCACTGCTATTACAAGTTAACATTGGGGGGTCAAAACCTCTTTGAAGTAATTGGACTGATATCTACAGGTGGTACAAAATCCTCACGATATACCTTTTTTTAAACTGCACCTTGTAGTGGTTACACGACGCTGTATTGACAGTGATCATTTATTCCCTCAGTTCTAGTGGCCACATAGGGAATCTGACTTCTGCTTCACGTTGCTCTCAATGCACAGACACACCGTGCAGGTTGTAAACAATTCAACCATGCAAACAGAGTGGAAATGCACAGTTGGTGGTCGTGTATAGATATGTATGATGATAATATAAGGCCGCTGTTGATAACTAGCTAAAGTGTTTCTGTTGGGACAGATGTTTTCTCCGAACCTCCAGACTCATTCATATCAAGAGGGACACAAATTAAACAAAACCAGACAACTGCAAAGTCATCAGAGACGTCTTTTTCAGGCCCAAAATGTACTTTTCTTATGAACTATTCTGATTAGCGACATCAGTGTCACTCTCATGCACAGCGATTTAAAATAACAGATGCAGCAGAATTAATACTGTTATTAGTATTATTAGTAGTAGCATCAGTGGTGGTAAAATAAATAAGAAAATCATAATTTGAATAGCTGATTTTAGTGTGTCTGTTAGTGCATCCGCTCAACATGCTCACATTCTTATTGTTCCATATAGGAACAACCACAATTATTTTCTTAAAACAACAAACACATGCATACACAAACCTTCACAAGCATTCTCAGGAATTTCCCGTGCCCCCGTGTGCATGTAGAACACCGGAGCGGGTTTGGGAGGAAGCTAAATCTCCCAGTACTCTCCTCAAGCCTGTGAACTTCTTCTCGGGGATTAGGGGGGTAAACACACAAGGTCTGAGAGGCACATCTCCCCCTACCTCCAGCCCCGAACCACATCAAACCCCTGCGTTGGCGGAAAGGGCTGGTCCCAGTCCCACAGTCTCCTATTATGCACCTTCACAAGGCTCTATGTTGGATCTTTAACTTGTGCGACATTAAGGATCAAGCCCGCAGCCACACACAATCAGGGAATGATATTTTGCTATTTTCGGACCGGGTCAAGTAACGATTCAAAAGGAGCTAAAAGAAGACAAAGTAGGCTGTCGCAGCAGCGAATGACTCGTTCCCACGCATGCTGGTGCTGCTCGGTGCGACCAATGAAAGAGACACCAAACAAAGGAGTGCCATGATAGCACCTTAGAGCTAATCCCTCAATAACTACTTTACTGCTGCTGTCAGACAGAACACAACAAAAGCTTAGAGCCGTCACGCATATGCAGCACCTTACGCATGTGCATGTGTGTGCACGGGTCTCTCTTTGGTAACACGCCCGTCTGCTCCTGTTCTTTGTTGTCCAGTTCTGCGGCAACTTAATTCTGAAACACTGACACAACATGACTCACCGGCTGCACGGTGAGAAAACACGCGGCGCAGCATGCGTGGTCATTGCCGTGGTTTTACAATGAGGCCTCGAAAGAGCGTGGGACCACAATGTGCCGACAAAAGGTCCTGTTCTAGAGTAAGAATCTTAAAAACAGTGTCCTCGTCTCTGTGTTTTTCTTTCTCTAACATGCGGACGTATCGTCGGGGTTCCACGTGTTGACTGACTTTATTAGTCGTTGTCAAACCACAGAGGCTACATTTAATTGCAATGAACAGTCTTTGTTGAAGAACATGAATTGGGAGTGTCCCCTTCCAAATAAACTCTTGTCTGCAGGGTGTCTTTTTGGTGCTTGAAATGTCCAAAACGTGTTGATATGAAGAACATTCCTGCTGTAGAATGTGGTCACTCCCTGATTCCGATTCAAACGACTGAGCAGTGTGCTGTGGCGTTCTCTGGGTGGAGCTGGGTGGAGCTGGCTGTATTCCACGGACACAGAAGCTCAAGCTAACCGTGTGGAGTAAAACAAGCGGGCCGTTGTTCCAGAGCCGCTCGGGGTTATCCGGTGTATCCATCCCTCTATCGCTCTGCCTAACCACCAGTTAGGCAGAGCGATAGATGTTAACCGGATGTCAACCGCTCCTTGCTGACAGAATCATGTGAATTAAACAGCCATTTAGAAACAAGCCCGTCATTTTAGGGCAGAATTCAACCTCTGTCATGGGTCTGAGCTGGCAGGAAGAATAACTGTGATGCCCGATTCAAATATCCACGTAACCCCCCCCCCCGAATGTTCCCGCCTCCATCAAGCTCTTGTTGCCGTAGTGAATTTGACTTTTCATAGTAGATATATTTGACCAGTTCCCAATAAACCATGACAATGTAACAACAGGCCAGCATGCGTAAGACCAGGGCCTCCAGTCAGAAGCCAATGGATCTTGTGCAGAAGCATCTTTCCATACGTACGTACGCAGTTGATCATAACTAAGCTGATAACAAATAGAAGCATTTGTAGTTTCTGCTGGTAGACTATGTATTGTATGCATTTGTCATGCTGGGAATTACCAGTTGAATCGCAGCGACGCCATTTCCCACTCGCAAGTGGAAATGGTTGTATTATATTTTGTGTTGTTTTCTTTGTTCAAATAGGTATATCCCGCCCACGTCATATTTAACGCACCATCTGTCACACAGACAGAACAAAAGCTCAGTAAATAAGAGTAAATCTCTCCAAGGCAAGGAGGCACCTTTTGACATTTTTGTCCCAGACATGCCTTTATTTGTGCGACGGCATTTACCTCATCTGGCATTTCTGTTTGTTTGTCAATTATCTCCACAAAGACTCGGGACCCTGAAAGAGTTGAGGCGTGTGCAGCGATGACAGCGAGCGAAAGGCAAATGAAAAAAAAAGAAATAAAAATGTAAATGTGATTTCCCATTTGCACATCAGCCGTCTCCATTTCCGCGCAACCCGATGCCACTTTGCACAGAGACGCTACCCAGCAAATGTGAAACGCGCCGGACAGTTAAGACTCTCAGAAATGCGGTCATGGCTGAGGCTGTAATTGGGAGAGCATGCCCTCCCCCCCCTGTATTAGTTGGCAGAGGTTGTGGAGTTCAGACGCAGAGAGGAAGGCAGGTTGGAGACTTATGGTCGCCTCTCTGAATGGTTTCCCCGTCTATGAGGCAAACATTCAGACACGCGTCCCCAAGAAGGCCATATAAATCTGTGAGCATGTCCAACATTTGCACATGAGGATGCCCAGTCACATGACCACCTGTCGGAACTCGTCTTCCGCCGTCGTTTGATCTTCTTCTCCCAGCTTCCTCTGATGCCCCTTTCTGGGAATTACTTGGCTCTTTTTCTTGAAAACTCTCGTCTTTACTTTGAGATCCTTTGGGAGGGGGGACGAGGGGGGAGGACGGGGGGCGTGTAAGCTGTGTAATCTGTGATTGATGGCACGCAGGCAAAGGAGACCCAGAAAAGAGGACGAGTACCAATTTATTTTCCATTTAAAACAAAGATGGAAAAGCAGAGGCAACTGCCAAAAGGTTTTCATCTGATCCGAACGGAACTTCAATAAAACAAATTCCTTCGACAGCTATTTCAGCTCTTCGGCGAGGAGGCATTTCCCAAACACCCTTTTGTCTTCTGACTTGACAGCCCACAACTGTCATTCCTGCCCCTCTCCCCGTTAAATCAATATATAATATTACCACGGACGAAATTTGGTAAGCTTGACCACATGAAGCCGATACTTCTGCGTGGCTGACGACAGATTCAGCCATTTGTTTCCTGTGTCTTCGCCCCATCTTTTACACAAAGGGATGTAATGATATATTAAGATCTCCACCAGAAGCACTAAAGAGATTCATTGTCTGCAGATGCCGTAAAGAATTTAATCAACAATTATTTCACACAATTACAGTGAGCATGTTTTAAAAGTCTGTGATAAACAAAAAGAAAGTAGTCCAGCAGTCTGAGTGAAAATACTAAATCCTTTGGAGAAGACAAATGCGTTTTTAAAGTTGGATGAGAACACCCAGAAGCTTTTACACGACATACGTGTGCCCTCTAGTGGCCATGCTGCTCATTTCAGTGCTCCTCCTCTTAACACTTGTATTATGTTGAGAAAGAAATACGTTAATTATGTTGCGGGTCATTTTGACCCGTATTGTGTAAATGCACTCAAAACAGTCAAAAATGAAGTTAAACCAATGAGAACTTTATTTTAGATTAAACAAACATTAAGAAGAGATGAGAAGAAGAGATATACAATTCAAACACTACATTAAAGAACTCCTGATATCACGTTTTCCTTTGTCACAAACACTTTTTTTTTCATCTAAGGACGTGTACGCTTGATCTTACAGGGCAGCAGGTGTTTGTGTAGCCTCCCCTTCCCACAGACGGATTACAGTGCGGATGCTAAAAAGAAAGAAGACATATTGTTAGTAACTTTTCCAATGAATTGATCAAATCCCAAGGACGTGTCCTTTCTTTTTTAAACATTATTGTGTGGGAATAACATTAAATTGGAATTGTTCCAGCCTCAGAGAAGCACTTTGGTGGCGTTTTAGACCTTTGTCTACACTGTCGTGAGGCCAGCCAACACGTGGTTACCCTCACGTACTCGTGCAAGTCGTCTAGTCGCAGCCCAAGCGACGCAGCGGCCGCGCTGTGAGTCACAACAGGGCGCCACAGTCACGCGTCCACAAAGACATTTATGAAAAAAGACACTTCTCACCTTTTCCGACAATTCACATAATCAAAGGCCTTATTGATTTGCTCCAGCTGGAGGTTGTGGGTGATGAACTCATCCAGCTTCAGCTGTTTCTTCTTGTATTTGTCCAGCAGGTCCTCCACGCCCTCCACGCCCTCCCAATCTGTAGAAGGAAACAGAGTCCTCGTTGGCCCTCGATGGAGCAAAACATTAACACGCCATTTTTCTCTTCGCCTTTTCATGTTTTTTAGCATCACGTGACAATAAATGCTGAAAAGAATTCCCCTTTGAAGCAGTTACATAATATTGGATTATTAGATCTGCAGTGCGATCAGATGTCAAAGTGCGCCGCTGCCGGTGGACCCACATTTCCTGTGTTTCATAACTGAGGATCCAGATAACAGGCCGCATCCGGTGTCAGTGTGTGTGTAATATATAAATCTATCATCATATTTGCTACCTGCCACTTCTCTTTTGTGTGCTTTATTCTTGATTAAAACCTCCACTAACCAGTTTCATTGACCAGTTCAAGGAAACTGGTTAGATGTCGATTGATTCTTGCGTCATTAAACGAGTAAAGGTTTACAACATTTGCGGCTTCTTACTTTTTTCTGGTGACGTGAGGCTGTGGAAGACTTGCGATTGGCATTTTAACCATCGACAATAAGCACAAATCAGAAAGGCCCAGAAATGCAGCAGCCGATCTAAATTCAAGCGTTTTCGCGAGATTTTTATTTTATTTTGCATGAACAAACAAACTGAAATTCACCTCCGAAATAAGTCCCCTTCAAGGTGCGTCCCATCAGGATGGTTTCAGCGCTGACGCTCACCGCCTCCACCGCGTCCGCCTCCGTCCACCCGACGAGGGCGCAGGTGCCGCCGCCGCCTGACGTAGACTCCAGCGCAGCACCCTGACGCCACACGAAGGACCCGTTGTCTTAATCAATGCTCCTCTCAAAACACATCTCCACCGCGCTGAGCGGTACTAGAGGAAACCCACCATGAAAAATGGACTCCCGGCACACTCCATAGCGTAGTCCACCCCCCCCCGGGTCATTTGCGTTAGGACCCTCTGGACGGGCTCGCTGTGGTCTTTGGGGTTGACGCAGTCGGTGGCTCCGAGCAGCCGGGCCGTGTCAAACAGGTCCGGGTTGTAGTCCACGGCGATGATCCGCTCGGCCCCGGCGGCCCGGCAGCCCATGACGGCCGCCAGGCCGACGGCGCCGAGCCCGAACACGGCACAGCGGGAACCTTTTTCCACCTGCGGGGCGCGTGAAGGTGGCTCAGAGCTTACGTTTTGTCAAGTGTTTTTCACCCTGATTAAAAAGAAATGATCTTTTACTGAGCTTTGGTTTTCAAAATAGCAATAGTATTTGAAAGAACAAATTATCATCAGAAACAACTATCTTTTCTACTGACTTTTAGTCTCTTTATCCATCTTATATGCAAAACAAACTACTAAAAAACCCAAATGTTTAGATCAAATGTTTAGATCATATAATATATATATATACCCTATGGTTGAATGCACTTATTGTACGTCGCTTTGGATAAAAGCGTCAGCTAAATGACATGTAATGTAATGTAATGTAATATAGTTGGTGAGGAGGTGGTGATCCAAAGCGTCCTCTGGGTCTGTACCCTCTTACCTTGCACACATTCCTGGCAGCACCGTAGCCGGTGGAGACGGCACAGCCCAGGAGACACACTTTGTCCAGCGGCACGCTGTCTCTTATTTTGGCGAGCGAGGCGTCGGAGACCACCGTGTATTGGGAAAAAGAAGCTACCCCCAGGTATTGGTACACTTGTTGGCTCTTGCAAGATATCCTGCTTGTGCCATCGGCCATCACGCCCACCTGTGCGTTCGCCCTAAAAGCCGCAAAGTGCAGTGGAAATGGGAGCAGTGAGTCGTCCAAACACCATAAAAGCAACAGTGACGAGTGTGAACGGAGTCATGGTCACCAGTCCTTCCTGCGCTGGACGGTTTCAGCGGTGCAACGTCGATCTTGTTTCCCGCAGTTTGGCTGAAAAAGAGGAATGACTCGGTCACCTGTGGAAACAGCCAGACAGACAGACAGACAGACAGACAGACTTCCTCAGTCAGAGTCACACGTCGCAGCCCGGCGGCTCGTTTCTTGCTGAGCTGTTACAATTCACCCGGTGAGAATCTGTCGACCGCAGGGCCGATGCTCTCCACGACCCCGGCGGCCTCGTGGCCGAGAACCAACGGGAACGGCCGCAGCTTGGTGCCCGTCCCGGCCGCGTATAGGTACGCCCAGTCTGCGCGGCACACGCTCGTGGCAATCACCTGCACGAACACACAGTCAAGCGACAGTTTCTATAGGTCAAAAGCAAACCGAAAGACAGGAAGTGAGCCTGTGAGGAAAGTCAAAAGTGGAAGTGACATCTATTTGAGCGAGCTTCCCCCCCCCCACAATATCCCTTTTAACTCTTCCCATTCAGTCATAATTTAATTTTAAAGTTGCATTGCAGACCAACTCGGGATGAGCAGCTGACCTTGATGCGCACTTCGTGGGTCTTAGGTGGAGCCACCTGCACCTCCTCAATGGTCAGAGGCCTACCGGGGCCCCACGCCACAGCCGCCTTGCACCGGATCACCTGTGGGGGAATAAGGACAGGTCGGTGTTCGCTTCTTGGTGGTGGGGCCGCTTTCCGGTGCTGCCGTTTCTTTAAAGCCACTTTAAAGCCACGGGACCCTTCTCCTTGGGGCGTGGTTGGGGGGCTATTTTTAGGCTAATTTCTTGTTTTAAGCCACGTATGAGAAGCTAAATTGGGTTGAACATCACACTGCTGGCTACGGGCCACCACATCAAACGCCAGGGTTTAGACATTAATCTAAATATATTGCAGATTAAGTGGGACGTTATGTCCTTACCTGACCAGGCGTTGACATCCTTGGAAGTGGCCTAATGGATTTGCCTGTTATGCAACAAAAGATCAAATTGTTGGTAAACACAGAGTCCGACCAACTGACGTGTGTTATGGAAAGACTGTGTGTAAAGTTGTGATGCTGCACCCTCCTGCCGACTGCCTGCTCCTTTAAACACGACGTGGGCGGAGGAGGCGGGACGGGGATTTACGACACTCCGCGATACTGGTGAACGCCTTTACGGCAGCGCTTGGTCACACGTGTTGTCATCGCGTGGAAGCCCCTCTTCGTAAATAGCTGCTGAGAGGCGATCAACTTTGTGAGTAATCTGCTTAAACTGCGCGTACATAAAGTTCTAGACTCTAGTCTAAGTATGTAGGTTGAAGTAAACGCGTTACGGGTTCTTTTGCGGTGGAAAATGTGGCTGAAGTGTTTTAGATGAGCAAGACGAGCTAGCATTAGCTGTGACATAGCATTAGCTACAACTTGTGCAGTGCCGCTGAATCCTCGCTAGCCGTTAGCTTAGCCTCGTGCCACGCTGTTCTACGCGTCGCTTATTTCCCCTCTTTGTGCCCCTCGCGGAGGTTTCTTCACAGAGTCATGTCTTTCCGAGGGGGCGGTGGGCGAGGGGGCCGAGGAGGCCGGGGAGGCGGAGGCTTTAGCCGGGGCGGTGGAGGCCGAGGCGGAGGCGGAGGGTACGGAGGAGGCAGAGGTGGAGGCGGCGGATTCGGACGCGGCGGCGGACGAGGTGGTTTCCGGCAACAAGACTACGGTCCTCCGGAATATGTCGTCGGTAAGATCCGCAAAAAAACGGCACCGCCGAGAGGATGCTGAGACATGCGTGTTCTGTGAATTAAGGGTCTGTGTGTGTGTGTGTGTGTGTGTGTGTGTGTTTGTGCAGCTGTGGGAGAGTTTGTGCATCCGTGTGAAGATGACCTCGTGTGCAAGTGCACGACCGAGGAGAACAAAGTGCCCTACTTCAACGCCCCGGTGTACCTGGAGAACAAGGAGCAGATCGGGAAGGTGGATGAGATATTCGGCCAACTGCGGGAATTCGTATCCTTTCTGTTTTCACCCTCTGCGGAATGAATTGTCGTCATTGCAGCTCCGCAGCTTCTCGTTGATTCCTTAACCTACCCGTGCAGTACTTTTCAGTCAAACTCTCTGAAAACATGAAGGCATCTTCATTTAAGAAACTGCAGAAGGTTTGAACAACGTCTTTACTTTCACACAAGTGCATTTCAGTGCCTTTTTTTTCTTCCTTTTAACGTTATGTCTCTCTCAGTTTTATATAGATCCCATGAAGCTGCTCCCTCTGCAGAGGTTCCTCCCGAGGCCGCCAGGGGAGAAGGGTCCTCCTAGAGGAGGCCGAGGGGGAAGAGGAGGCGGTCGCGGAGGTGACCAAACTTTCTCTCTCAAACCTCATTCTCTGATGCTTCTCCATCATGGCCACCGAGCTGACCTTCGCTGTCCGTTTCACTTGCCCGAGGAGTGTGTTGGTTCCTTTGTGGAGTGGTTTGATTCATGCTGCTTTGCTTACGATTCATCCTTTTTTAAGGCGGTTTTCGCGGCGGCCGCGGTGGAAGCTTCGGTGGTGGCCGCGGTGGAGGCGGCCGGGGTGGAGGATTCGGAGGCGGGCGAGGTGGAGGAGGTTTCAGAGGAAGAGGAGGTGGAGGAGGACGTGGATTCAGAGGTTTGTCCCTTTTTCATTCTTCAAGTACTACTTGTTGTCCTGGTGTGACGGTAACCTTCCTTTTTTTTGTGCTTACAGGCGCGAGATAACCTGCTGGGGTGGTCTCATCTCCATCTTGGGCTACAAACACGCCAAACGGCAGTGCCTGACCTGTTGGACTCACAATATAGACACTGCCTCTATTTGAATCCGATGGATTTTCCCCTCCTTGTTTTTATTTTTTTGTGCCATTGAATGTGTGACGGCTGATTTATTCTTTCAAAGGTTGATACGTATGTTGGTGTGTAACTCAAGGACCCTTCGGCCTGATGTCACTCTGTGTACAGGTGCATCTGTCCCGTCCTGATTTCTCCACATGTGTGGCCGTGAGATGTGTTTGTACTGTGACGGATTTTAAGTGCTACATTCTCACACCTCGTGCATTCTATTGCTTTGATGCGGGCGGTCTTTGTATACAGTTATCGGAGAACATTTTAATACCCATTGTTTTCTAAGGTCCTAAGCAGAATGTTGTCACATTTTTGGTTGAAGGGCTTGATTAAACGGTGCTTTGTAACCGTCTTTGTTTAATTTATTAGGTCTTGGTTGTAGATGTTCAAGTGGCATCCAAAGAAGGCAAAGGGACCACATATTTTTGGAATATTTTAAACTCAATCAGGAACGTTTCTTGCCAAAATATGTTAGACATACAGAGTTTGACATGACTGTTGAGCATAAAATCAGACAGTAGGCCAATGAGACAATAGACAAGACCAAAAAAAACATCCAATTTATAATCTAACTACAGTATAAAATGGAAGGCTAAGGGATAAACGGTACAAATTGAAGATGCACGTTAACTTTCTATTTAGCCCGATAACCCAACTCTACACAACTGTGAGTGTGAAGGGGTGAGGGTCGATTCCAAAGAAAGACCGTTCTGTACACAACTACACTCACTGTAGTTTTATCATCAGAAAGGATCAAGTTTAGGAGCCAATAGTGGCTCAAAATACAGTATTGTGTTCATTAACAGTGCATTTTACTTATTCCCAGTAAATCATTACAATATTTCCATATTAATGTAAAGGGGACTTTTTTAATTAACTAGCATTTTATTTAAATAATCTTTAATCGCAAGGCATACTAAATATAAGATACATTTGAGTTTTATTTCTACATTTTTCCGGATCAGTTGATTAAAATGCTATAAAAGCGAACCGCTCGAGGCAGCTCGCTGTCCCGGTTCACCCCGCACGTGCCTCCTCTCTGATTGGTCCAGAGACCTTGACTCCTTTACGGCAGCGCCCCGCCTTCTCCCCCCCGCCTGGACGTGAACATGGAGACGGCTGGAAAAGTAGGTCCATCTCCCACTGAACGCGCCACGCACATTTTAAAGCACGTTGTCTGCACCGTTCGTGAACGCGCAGCATTGAAACGCGACGTTCTCACAACCCGCGTTTTACGAACACGTTGAAATAGTCGCCGCGCTCCTAAACGGGACTCTGGGACTCTTTGTTTCAGCTGCTGAAAATCTCTGCCACCGTGTCCCGCGCTTAATTCGGACGAGTTGAGAACGTGAGAACTACCTAACGTTAGTTATTTTAAGTAGAACCTCGTAGCCCCCCACGCGACCCCCGACCCCCCCCCCCCCCCACACACACACACACACACTCCGAAGCCGAAAGAAAACGTTGGTTTTCATTTGCGTTCATGCTAAAGCTAAAGGTCACTGCTACCAGGATACAGTGGATACAGTTCAGGCCCAAAGTGCAATTTTAATTTCTCTCCCACGCGGGCGCGCGCGCCGCGGCAGTGGCACCTTGCTGAGGCACTTCCGGTCTCACTCGCAGCCGCCGCCTCTTGTTTGCGGTCTCTGTTTATTAAACACGTGACCGCGCGTTTCCGCCCTCGGGACGTACAGACTGTTGGTGGTTGTAATCGATTCAGAAAGAAAACGCCGACGTGTGATTAGTGCGGCTTTCCCGTTTTAATTCAGCCAAGCCAGTTTAGGCTGACGTCGGTTTGCACTTGTTGTCATGGCAACGACACGCCCTCAGAAGTCTGCGGCCTCAAACAATGCAAATTGTGCAGTTCAGAATAATGAGAACCCGTGAAGAAAAGGGACTGTTTTTCTTTTTTTGCGCTCAGGTGATCAAGTGCAAGGCGGCTGTCGCTTGGGAAGCTGGTAAGCCTTTCTCCATTGAGGAGGTGGAGGTTGCTCCACCCAAGGCCCATGAAGTCCGCGTCAAGGTAAAACAAAGCGTGCGTGCCTGGCATGGATGCTAATGTATGGAAGCCCGTTCTGCCACTGAAAAAAAACGGTTAGAAAGTCGAGATGATGAGATAAATGATCAAAATGATGACTTGAGACAGTCAAATTGACACCTGACAGTAGTGATTTCAACAACCAGCTGCAAGGAGCATGTGCACATCTGAAGTCATCATTTTGACTTTCTAAACAGAAATGGGCTTCCATACTAATGAGATTGTGTCCAGCTTCTGTGTTCTCCTTTATTATATTTTTTAGGAACCAGTCTTTATTATAAGACGTGACGATGATGACGCTTATTTCTGTCCTTAACGTCCTCTCAGATCTTTGCCACCGGTGTGTGTCATACAGACGCCTACACCCTCAGCGGCAGTGACCCCGAGGGGCTCTTCCCCGTCATCTTGGGCCACGAGGGTGCTGGGACAGTGGAGAGCGTCGGCGAGGGTGTCACCAAGTTCAAGGCCGGTAAGGATCTGCCAGACGCGATATTTCAATTTGTTGTGAATAAGTGTGTTGTTTTTTGTTGTTGTTTTTTAAAGTGTGATTTCTTACCGTTCTCAATTGTCGTTGACCAAGGCGATGCCGTCGTCCTGCTGTACGTGCCCCAGTGCGGTGAATGCAAATTCTGCAAAAATCCCAAGACCAACCTTTGCCAGAAGATTAGGTAATGCTGTCAGGCGAATTCATAAAAGACTGCCAGGACGATACAGAAAAAAAAAAAAAAAAAATATATATATATATATATATATATATATATATATAAATGCATTTAAAATGTGTGGGGTGATGTATTCCTTCAGAACTTTCAACCTCAATGGTTGAACTCCGAGCCTCAGGTGCCCCACCCCAGGGCAACCACATCAAAGCTCACTCATCATTAGTTTGAATCGCATTAAAGTGCGCATTAAAGTCATCACACACACGCATATGAAAAGAAATCTTTCCCTGTGTTTCCCCCCCGGCAGAGTAACCCAGGGCCGCGGACTGCTCCCCGACAGCACCTCTCGCTTCACTTGCAAGGGAAAGCAAGTGTTCCACTTCATGGGGACCAGCACCTTCTCCGAGTACACCGTGGTGGCCGACATCTCCCTGGCCAAGGTGAACCCGGCGGCTCGGCTGGACAGAGTGTGCCTGCTCGGCTGCGGCATTTCCACGGGGTACGGTGCCGCTCTGAACACCGCCAAGGTGGGTTGTCACGGGCCGCCGACCAGAGCCGGTAAATTAGGAATTCCATGGTGCCGGATTTTGAAAACATGAGATGTAAATGGGCCTGTCGGAAGAATTAATACTCGACACCGGTGTAAAAATCATCAAAACGGCACATTTCATGTTTGCAAACGGGAGACCGAGTTGACTCAAAGGTTTTCATCTTCAGAGCAGCGATATAAAGTTGCAAGATAAACTTGAGTGGGTGTCTCTGTGCAAAACCAAAGTGCTGGTAGTCAACCTCGGAAGTAGATGATCATCAAGATTGTAAACCTCAACACATCTTTATTATCAGATGACCCAGAACACCACGTGAAAGAGCACAGACTGTCTGTCCTGCTAAAGTGGAATATTATTGCAGTTTTTACCGAAAGGACCGGACGCTTTTTCTATTTCTTTTTTCGTATCGTCATATTAGAGAAGAAAACTGAAACGTGAATCTAAATTCTATTTTTAGTTTCTGAAGCGTCATAGTTTGAAGCTTGCTGAGAATAATACGTTTGTTGCCCAAAGGATGAAATGAATATTTAGTCATTGTTTGTCATCTTCACCCTGAAGTGGGTCACCCTTATTAATCAGGCAGATCCGATGTGAAAGGGCGGCGTCGCCGATGGTGTCTGCCTCCCAAGTTGCCGTTGTCTTTTTGTTTTCTTCATAATGTTCACATTTAATTAGAAATGAAACCAAAAATCATTTACTGGTCTCTTTGCAGATACAATAAGATTAAAAAGAGACGTTCCATGTAGTGCGTTCAAAAATGTCACCCAGTCAAAAGCAGTTCTCACATGCCTTGGCTGTTGCATCAGGTTGAGGCCGGTTCCACGTGCGGCGTGTTCGGCCTCGGCGCCATCGGCTTGGCTGTTATCATGGGCTGCAAGGAGGCCGGCGCCACCAGGATCATCGGCGTGGACATCAACCCCGACAAGTTTGAGAAAGCAAAGGAGTTTGGAGGCACCGAGTTCGTGAACTCGAAGGACCACAGCAAGCCCATCCAGGAGGTCCTGGTGGAGATGACCGACGGCGGCGTGGACTACTCTTTTGAGTGCACTGGCAACGTGCAAATCATGGTGAGGCGCTTCGTAGGTGCGAAACGTTTTTATTGATTCGCGTTGTCGTAGAAAATTGGAACGAAGGCGGTCTTTGTTTCAGAGAGCCGCTCTGGAGGCGTGCCACAAGGGATGGGGGGAGAGCGTCATCATCGGCGTGGCCGCAGCCGGGCAGGAGATCTCCACCAGGCCGTTCCAGCTGGTGACGGGCCGAGTGTGGAAGGGCACCGCCTTCGGAGGTGATACCTAATGGCGTGTTTCAAGGGGCGTAATGTGGTCTTTCCGCGGGTTCAACGCCTCGTCCGAATGTCAACTCCGGGTAATCGGTTGGTTTTTGGCTTCAAGTTCACGAGGCAAAAGTTTTTGAGAAGAGGTTCAACTAGAGCGTCGCTTTTGATAACTGGTCTGAGTGAGGTGTGTGTTCGTATATTGTTTGTACTTGTGGAGTCGGTGCCCCGCTGTTTTCTCCTACTTAACAGGTCGTATTCTGTAAATTGTCATTTCACCCCCCCCCCCCCCCCCCCCCCCAGGATGGAAGAGCGTGGAGAGCGTTCCTAAGCTGGTGGAGGACTACATGAACAAGAAGCTGAAGGTGGACGAGTTTGTGACCCACACGCTGCCGTTTGAGAAGATCAACGAGGGATTCGACCTCATGCGTGCCGGAAAGAGGTAAGACAACTATTGTGTCTCTGTCTTTGTTAGTGAAGCCCTCTTGACTGTTTTTGTTTTGTGGTTGTTCTGTTTATTGACTGTTTCTTTTTGTCTGCAGCATCCGCGCAGTGCTGACCTTCTGAAGTGCCTCAAACCTGGACCTCCACACCCGGCCTTCCAACAAGCTCCTTCCAGACTCTGCACTTGATTGATTTATCTGGACTTGTTTTGTTAGACTGAACTTTCAGGATTAAAACATTATTTTCATTAACTGCAGAATGCATGTTTGAAACGGTGTCAATACATTTCTTTGAAAAATAATTTATTTTCTGCTTTTCTTTCTTGCTCATTTGAAGACTGACGTGAAGAGAACATAAGATGTGAAGTCTCATAAGTTACCTTATTCGCTCCTTATTCTTATGTTTACCCAGATACCAAATATCAGAATATTATTAGTGTATATTAGAATATACACAATATGATGAATTATGAATACCAATAAATACAAACAACTATTCAAGTTTAACTGTTTTGAATAAATCCCTAAATAAGGGATGTATTAAACTGAAATGAACCATTTTGCGGTAGCGTAGAGTAGGAGATGTAATCACATGATCGGCATAACTTCCTGTTCATGTGTTCACCTCGTGAGACGTTCATTAACACGTGGTTAAGAAGTGAACGCGTCTGCTACGCTTCGTGTTGTTTAATTCAGTGGTTCTCACCATCACCCCTTAACGACAAGCCGCCACCCACATCGAGGAACATTCTCACCTTCTCACATTTATTTATTGAAAATGTGGTGCAGTTTGAACCTGAGATGGTATGCAGACAGAATACGTATGGCAACACAAAAACAAGTTTAATGAAAAAACAAAAGAGCCAACTGTTAATTCTAATTTTTATTTTCTGAAAGTATTTTATGTATGAAGTACTTTATGTGTGTACCTCACTTGTACCCACGTTGAATAAAGTGGCTCCAATTCCATCAATTAAAGGATAATCGGATTCCCACTCATTTAAAGGCTCTATATAATGTGCATATGTGCGTCTCACCGCGCAGGTAGACGCGCGCGTGCGGCGCTCCGGGTTGCGCATGCGTCGTGCAGAGGACCAGGTGGCGCGGCCGGGGTACTTTAAGGCGCGTCGGGCACGCGCAGCGCGACCTCCGGAAGATGGCGACCGCGCTGCTGGTGAGTGCCCGACCCGCGCCCCTCTGACGGGGAACCGCCGCCCGGGTTGGGAGGCTTTTAAACGCGTCCGGTTCGCGGCGTTACGTCGCTGCCTTCCCGCCCGGCGTGGATGACGTCGCCGCCGCTTAACGGCGCGGAGAAAGACACGCACGTTAAGTTTGGGTGAAGTTGGCGAGCCGTCCGCACGTTCAGACTCAAATCCCATTCTAACCAGTGGCCGGCGGTGAGGCGCAGGGACCGTCTGCAAAGTGCAACGCGGTTACGAATGGTGGCGTCCCTAAAGTCACGTCCTATGCCCGTGGGATTGTTCTCGTCCTACTACACCTGTTGCTTTTGATAAAGTTTGCTTTTGCATAATTTTAATTAACTTTATTCCAATGCAGTCTGGCGGCATTACGTTTTGTTTCACAACCGCTGGCTCCTATTTCATTTCCAGAAACCAGAATATTTGGTGTGGAGCACTTTTATGAATTAATATACGCGCAAGATCTTCTATTAACAAAATGATTCATCTAAAAATATATGACCCAGCTGTCATTAGTTAAAGTCTGCTAGTATCTTTGGTTGGTCAAACTAGTGCTGTTGTAAACTACTACTGACCAGCTAAAGAATGAGGTCACGGACTGATGTAAAGTATTAAAAGCGGTTGTGGTCAAAAGGCCGCGTCCTGCACCCGTAGCTTAATAATACTTTATAGTTAAAATTTAAATTTATATTACTATTGAACTTGAACAGTTCAATAATTAAAAATGACAATTTACAGCTGGAACATGATAGTTCAGACATTTATTTTGAAGTAAGTCTTGTTTTTGCTTCCCAGTTGTCGACTTCCCTTCCTGCTAATCCTGAAAAGGAAACCTGTGAAACAATCATTCAAAAGATTATGAGTCCCGAGTCGTGCATCAAGCATCCACTACAAAACAAGTAAGACCACCTCACCTTTCATCTCTGAGCAGGTGCGTCTCCGCTCTGCTCGCCGTTCTCCGGTTTCATCGGAAACGAGTGAATCTGTTCCCGTGAAACGAGCCGTCGGCGAGCGGCGGCAGCATCGAGTGGGGGGTCACGCGGGGCAGCTGGTTTGTGCCAACGCGTCTCTTGATCCGCAGGTGGGCTCTCTGGTTTTTCAAGAACGACAAAAGCAAAACGTGGCAGGCCAACCTGCGCCTCATCTCCAAGTTTGACACCGTGGAGGACTTCTGGGCGTAAGTATCCCAACGCCGCTCCTCCGCGTCTCGAGTCAATTCAACACAATATCCTGTATGACGAGACGACGGCGTTATGGACAGTTTTGCACCTAAAATATCTCAACCCCCTTTTGCAGATTGTACAATCACATTCAGCTGTCCAGTAACCTGATGTCCGGCTGCGACTACTCGCTGTTCAAGGTGAGCGTTCATCGCCGTCTTTTGATGCATAATATCTTGTTTTCTCAGCTTCCCCCTGTAGGTGCGGCCGGTTCCGACACTCGTTGTATAGTCGTTGGTCGCTGTGCACGCTGCTCAGTCACCGCGGCGCCGACCGCACGTGAGGTCCTGCTGATGTTCCCAGCGGTGACGTTCACTTGCTTCATGTGGTGAAGCTTGAACGTGTTCACATGTTGAGAAACTTGAACAAATAACGGACAGAAAGTAAATATTCAAACGGGAAATACCCTTTGAAATTGTGGCAAGTTACTGTTATAACTCACTAAAGCCAATGTTTGCACTGATTTCGGAACAGTTCAGTTATTCTTTGGAGGGACGCTGAAGTCATTTTGTTAAAAACCTTTCTTTTTAATTAAATCAGAGCAGACTTTGATCACTCGGATCATTTCTTTTTTTCCCTTTGTGGAAATGATCCCTCAAAAACAGACCATAATTTAATGTCCTGCTTTGAGACAAATAATCTGTTTTTATAGTTCAACGCGTCTAACAATAAATGCCTTTTGAAATATCCATCAGGAACCATGTAAGCTGCTCTTTGTTGGACGGTAACTGGCCACGAATCTACCAGCCGAAGGCGAACAGTCTAATCAATAAGTACAGTTGCAATATAGATCTGCATTGAGTCTGGAGCAATAATTCAAGTTAACTGATGTAATTAGCGGCGAGGGGATATTTACTCCTGTATGCTGATCTAAAGGGGAACTGACGGGTTGAAGCCCCGAGGGAGACTTGGGGGCAGGGATTCCTGGTGTTGTGACCTTTGACCTTTGCTGTGGGTGAAGGACGGCATCGAGCCCATGTGGGAGGACGCGAGGAACCGCCGAGGCGGCCGCTGGCTGATAACGCTGTCGAAGCAGCAGCGGAGAGCGGACCTGGATCGCTTCTGGTTGGAGACGGTACGTTCGGTCCTCCGGCGTTATTGCTTCGTAAGGGGCCCCCGGGACGCGGTTTTAAGTCGATGGGTAACACCTTGGGTCAAATGCCCCGACCGCGCGCCGGTAGACTCTCTGAACCGATGTCCGTTGTTCCCGCAGCTCTTGTGTCTGGTGGGCGAGGCGTTCGACGACCACAGCGACGACGTGTGCGGCGCCGTCATCAACGTCCGAGCCAAAGGGGATAAGATAGCGGTCTGGACCACAGAATACGAGAACAAAGAAGCCATCACGCACATAGGGTGACCGGAAGATCACTTTCTGTCAGTCAAGAATGTGTGAAAATGTAGTTTTTGTAGACGGTCCCTTTTACGAGACCTTTCCAGACCTCGAGATAAAAATCCATCCGGCCAAAATATGGTTAACATTTAGTTTTTCCCCTTTTCAGGCGCGTGTATAAAGAGAGGTTAGGCGTGCCGCAGAAAGTGATCATCGGATACCAGTCGCACGCCGACACGGCCACCAAGAGCGGCTCCACAACCAAGAACAAGTTCGTGGCCTGAGGAGCAGCAGGACGTCTCGTGACGTTTCCCCTGCGAGTGTCCGGCCGACGAGGCCGGGCGCACTTTCCTGTCATCTGACAACTTCATTGTTTCCTTTTGAGTTGGGCTGAAGATTTGTAAAAGATGTTTTGATGGCCAGGTTTCGTTTTCAGATGCAGCTGCATATTTGTGTGTAATTTATTTGATTTATCCTCCCCATGTTCTCTTAACGCACTTTATCATTAAACGGTTTGGTGTAAACTGAGATTCTGTTAGTTCTGAAATGCCATTTAGTCGGATTAAAGTATTCATTGTGTTACATTCTAACCATACTTTATTCAACCTCTGTTTAACATCTTCTCAGAATGAACAGAACCAACACAACACGTTTAAACTCGAGCTTAAAAATCAGTTTGCTTTGTTTTTGTTTCAAGTCAAATCGGATTGAAGCCGTTTAGTTTCTTGTTAAGCTGCTTGTGAGATGTTACGGTTTGGTATTGAGATGTTCACGATTCTGAAGAGCAGGGGATTTATTTTAAATGCTTCTTAACTATTGCCCAAGTATTTGAATTAGTGAAGTTCACATTTGATGGAGTTTACTCGGTATCATTATTTAGTTTAGTTTAGTGGCATCAGTGAAATTGCAATTGTTTTGGAGGTAATTGAATGTGACGCGATACCCCTCAACTCCCAGCAGTAAATGTACATGAGTGATGTAAATAAAGTGTACATTGAAGATGGTTGCCTCAAAACGGTGTTTTAGTTATGAAGTCATTATTTTTATTGTTCAATCACAACGGCCAAGGACCCTTTAAGGGGCAAAACCCATCTGCAATGTAGTGAGAGTTTGCATCATGTCTGCAGATGATCAGACACCAGCAAATATTCCCTCCTTCCTCTCTGAGGTGTTGTAGCCACACTGATGCCGGCATGTTCAGCCGTATTGGGCTCCATAGATCACCTGTGGCCTGTTAGGGGCCTCAGGTGATCTATGACATCATCGACCGCCCACTGTAAAGCAACACGACCCCCAAACGCTCCTTTGCAATAAAGCCTCCGTGTAATTAACTCAATCAATCAAGGCTCATTCCTCGCTAAGGAGGCAATTAGATGACGGTTTTATCTCACAGGGTAAAACACGAGAAGCTTTCGCTCCTTTAAGCGACTGTTCGGCGCTACGGGAACGTTCCTTAAATGTAGATGGAAACGCAAAGGAGGAAAACGGTGGATTTACTTCAACGGCTTTCGCTGCAGGCTTCTTAAATATGAAGAGTATTTGAAAAACACACACGCGTGTGTAGTTGCACATAATGCCGCATAATGCCGGAGTCACAGTCAGTAATAAACTGTATAATCCTGTTTTCATAGTTGTCTCTGAACAAAGATGTTGGCCCTTTGTTAATATTTCAACCATGAAACTATTCAACATGTGCAGGTATTTTCAGAGCAGTAAAACATATCCGGCTGATTTGTTTCTGCTGCGTCTTTCGTCCCCTTACGTTCAGCAGGCGAATGAACTCACTGCAGGTACAGCGTCTCCCTCGGGCCTCGCGAAGCCCTACTGGTTCAGATGAGTCCGGTTATCTGGCCATTTATCGTGTGTGTGTGTTACGTAAAGCAATCATGTGTCCGTTTTATAGCCCTTCTACGAGAACAAAATGTGGTGAAATGTGCTAATGTAATAAAGTCTTGTGGGATAATTATTATTTTCCCTCCATAATGTAGCTCATGCATCAAGGATTTGTAAAAACATGCACATCTGATTACACCCTGACTAATTATTTCATTATCCAATTCTTATTTTGCGGTCTTCCCTTCCGCCGGCTGCCGCTTCGACGCCTTAAAAAAAGCCGATGATGCAGAGCGCTGGCGATCCTCTCTGGGCAGCGCTTTTCCGTATTGATTTATGCTAAAGTATTTCCCTCCTCTGGGCCCTTTTTCACTGATTGGCACCTTTTAACCCAACAGCCGACACCCAAGGTTTTGTGGGTTTGACGACGCGGAGGTCCTGACGGATGGAAGCACTAACCCGAGGGGAACGCACACGTGCTCATCTTTCAGGTTGCAAAAGGTGAGCAAAGGCCAGACCACGTGCGTCTGTTATGCAGCTGTTTAAGGCTTTTTGGGCGAGGTGGAAATATTATTCACATCCTCAAGTAGGAGCCCGTCAATGTCCGTTAAAATAAGATGTGTATTCAAAATACAAATGAATACACAAGCAGCTTGTTCATTTTGCTGCAGATCCAGGTGGGCGCATGCAGAGTAATCAAAAGTCTGATTGAATTGTCGCAGTCAGGAGGAGGCCTGGGAGGACGCGTTTGTCACTTTCCACTTAGCGTGTAGCTTATGCTGTGAGTCACGCTGCATGCTGCCGCTAGCAGTGACTTACAGTGAGTGGACTTGGGCTCAGCGGCCATCTCATCAAGGAGATCTCGGACGTCTGTGAGCACGTGGTGCCGTTCCGCGGTCTAAAGCCCACACTCACGAGCATGTACGTCATCAACGGGATGGCGTTATGCGTCACGCTTTTGGCATTTGTTTGGTAGTGACGACATTGCCACTTGTGGGTTCTTTTAATACGTTCACGTGTGGCCTACTTTTTTACACCAATAGTTGTACTTTTATTTGAGTAAAATATTCCAGTACTCTTTCTATCCCGACATTTGTAAAGTTGGGCGCTAGTGGTGCGCGCCGAGGCTTCAGACAGCGTTCCGAATTGGTCCCAGCGGTATTGGATCGTTGAGGTCAGGCCTCTCTGCTCAGTTTATTTCAAACTTTTGAAAAAAAAAAAAAAACCCGTTTCAGACTGCTGCGTGCATCTATCTATCCAAATATCTCCGCTGCTCACCTTTTGTTGCCATAGGTAATAAATCACGAAACGGTGCACTCGGGTGGGATGGTGACAGTGGTGCTCTGCTTGTCATAAACCGGCCACAGGGAGGCAGTGTAGCCACACGCTGGACCTTCAGCCTCCAAGCCTTCCATCCTCCTCCTCCACCGTTTTGGTTGGTTAAATTGGGCTTTCCACTGAGTGCGTCGGTTGCACACACTACGGGAAGAAGATATCTGTAAATAGCAGCTGTGTCTCTCGTTCCCATATTTATTTATATACCTCCCCCGCCACCCCCCCCCCCCCACCAAGCAGAGAATCCGCATTACAATGCCTCCCCTATCGCCTCGGGCAACCGTCGGCCTCCTGCTCACCAGCCTCCTGTGCAGCGTGCAGGAGGGACCGGGCGAGTCAAGCCGCGCTACCTGCCCTTGACTGATGTTTTCGTACCACCACCTATGCACGAGTGCCGGAGTTCTAAAAGCCGGTGACACGACGCCTCTCTGGACCGGGCGGCGGCAGAGGAGGCTGCAGATGGCTCTTTGCATCTGCGGGAGGTGCCGACTCCCTCTGTGCGGCGTGACAGATGTGTCACTTAACCGTTTCTCCTCAGCAGCACCAGGAGCGGCCTCTGAAGGACCTTGAGCCGGGCTCGGCGGGTGTAGGCCCTCATCCACGGCGCTGCTGACCGGCTCCCAGAGGCGCCGACGCTGCCGCCATCAAGTCGTCTGAGCTGGAGGCCCCCGACCGACTTCATGTCGCACGAGATCATAAGAAGCAGGTTTAGAGTCAGTGTCGCGGGAGTTCCATTGCCGTGTTGCACATTTAAATATGTTTAGATGAACCTGGATTACTAATCCGTTGTGGTGGCAGGCATGTAGTTAGTTTTGATTGCTCTCTTAGTAATACTTTTACATACTGTGTAACAAGCCCTCTACCACTTCAACGATACAGAAAAATACTACATCTCAATTATGACACATTACGATCTGGTGACCTTTTGTTTTAATATTCAGGATTTTGAAATTGATTCGGTTATAAGTGAGTATTATTGGCTTTAAATATTCTTTGCCTATCAACACAAAACCACACCCACCAATTTCACTTCTAAATCTCAAAACTCGACGTCACACAACAAATATTTGTTCTGTGACGCAGGCGTCTTTTGGGTGTACAAACAGCCCCTATGAGTGTAAAGACGGTAGCGTTGGCGCCATGGATATGTACATGAAGGCTGGATGTCTTACGCACATGGCGGCCTTCTTGCCACAGTGAGCTCGCTCACCCACAACATTGTGTTGGTAGTAATAAATAATAAGAACTTATAAATTTATTATACTTATGAATACTGTTCTGTTTAATGTTATTTTCATGTGAAAACCCATGGTTATAATCATAATTATTCATAAGCACGCAGTGTCATAAATACATCTCTATACAGGATTTCAACATGCAGCATTTCTTGATGTGGATTTGTAAAGGGAGATCTTGTACCTATTTTAGAATGTTATTCTATTTTAAAGGACATAACATAATTATTCACATCTCTGACGTTCATAACAAACCAAACCGTTTAAAAATCGGTTGAAAAAGTTATGGTTATTTAAAAAATACATGTATACCATTACCAACACAATGTTATGTGAGCGAGCTGCCTGTAGCAAGATGGCCGCCTTGTGTGGACGAGACATTTAGCCGTTATACATATATATAGCGACATCTAGCCTTTATATATGTATATATATATATATATACATATATATATAGAGAGAGACATCTAGCCTTTATATATATATATATATATATATATATATATATATATATATATGTATATATATATATATATATATATATATATATATATATATATATATATATATATATATATATATATATATATAGCGACATCTAGCCTTTATATATGTATATATATGTATATATATATATATATATATATATATATATATATATATATATATATATATATATACATATATATATAGAGAGAGACATCTAGCCTTTATATATATATGACATCTAGCCTTTGTATATATTTCTATGGTTGGCCCCGTTTTAATCTGCAGCGATGTGCTTTGTTCGATAAACCACTTTGGGGCCGAGTTGTTTGATGGACAAGGCTTTGTAAATACATTGAACTTTTCTTGACTCATTGGAAATGAGGAAGCTGTGTGGCTAATAGCAGCTAACACTGGGGCGTGCGCCTCATATTTACCCTCATAATTGCTTCAAACAGCGGCTTGCTCGAGGATGCGGGAGGCGTTTTACTACCCAAACAAGCAAACCGGGCTTCTGGTGCTGCCGTCGGTGCCGTTCATCATCCACGTCTTGTGCATAAATTCTTTTTTTGTAACAGCAGTTTATCAACTTGGTAATCATAGAACCTGAATGCGTATTTATTTCAACACCAGTGAACCTGATGTTTGCACTCGGGTGAAAAAAGCCATGTTTCCTCAGAGATTTGTCGGCCTGCAGACGCAATTATGTGTAATTCGAGAGACCTTTGTGCTTGGATTTGATTATGACAAACAGACAGTTTTTATTAATCTAACGGAAAACTGCTAAAAAAAAGGAAATTGACGGCTAACTGCTCGGGCAATAATATATATATAAGGCCGCTTCATTTTCCATCCCTCCATGTGGTTAAACACCTCCCTCTACACGCTGCAGAATGGGTCTGCAAGAAGCTTTTGTGCATCTATCCGCTACTTGCCCAGACGGCTTCTGAAGCATCTGCCTTGATAGCGATCCAAGAATCCGTAGGTTGCAGACGAGCATCGTGCTACAAACCTGCATGACGATGCAAAAAGAAAACCACTTACTGGCCACGCTGGAAATATCTGTGAGTCAGCCCTCGGAACGTCAGCAGGCCAGGGGTCAAGCTACCATTTAAATAAAAAAATA